AATAGGCGGACCACTGGTCTGATCCAGCAGGGCTCTTACGTTCTTATGTTCTCCATAAATGTCCCTTCCATTGCAGGCCAGGGCACCAGGATGAGAACCGAGAACCTCACTTCCGTGACAGAATTCATCTTACTGGGACTCACCGACCACAGGAAGACACAGATTGTGCTTTTTTTCATAATTCTCCTCATATATTCACTTACTCTTGTGGGGAATCTGGTGATCATCATCTTGGTGCGGGCAGACTCCCACCTCCACACCCCCATGTACTTCTTCTTGACGCACCTCTCGGGACTCGAGATCTGTTATGTCACCAGCACCTTGCCCCAGATGCTGGCTCACCTCCTGTCCGGAAACGGAGCCATCTCCTTCACTCGTTGCATCATCCAGATGTACATTGTTTTGTCCCTAGGTGGCACCGAATGCCTTCTGCTGGGGGTCATGGCCTACGACCGCTACTTGGCCATCTGCCGCCCCCTGGTATATGCCGTTGCTATGGGCAGGTGGCGCCAGTTGCACCTTGCCTCAGCTTCCTGGGCAGGAGGGTTTTCCCTCGCGGTGATAAATGTGATGTGCACATTGCGTTTCCCCTTCTGTGGCCCCAACCATCTCAACCACTTTTTCTGTGAGCTGCCGGTGGTGATGAAACTTGCTTGCGGTGACATTCACATCACAGAAGCCATCCTGTTTGTGGCGGCCGTGCTGGCTCTCCTGATCCCCCTGTCTGTTATCTTGACTTCTTACGGACTCATCCTGTCCTCCGTGATACGAGCACAGTCTGCCTCAGGACGCCACAAGGCTTTCTCCACCTGCGCCTCCCACTTGGCAGTCGTCACCATGTTCTACGGCACCGTCATTTCCATGTACATGAAACCCAGGTCGGGCACAACCCCTGACCGTGATAAGCAAACAGCTGTATTCTATGTGGTGGTCACCCCTCTCCTCAACCCGATCATTTATACTCTGCGGAACAAGGATATCCACAGAGCGGCAACTAAGATGTTGAAAAGAAAAGGTCTGGAACAAAAATACTGATGTATCGCTTGCTGGTCATGGACTGGTTTCATTTGGGTACTGCGGATACCTACTATGAATACTTTTCCAGAATGGCTTCATCGTTGGGTTTGGACGTGTGAGAGCATGTCTGTGCTCATCCATGAAATCCACTCTGTGGTCTTTAAGATGGTGCTGTCTTCATATTAATACACTTTCCCCATTCGTTCTTGGCATCATGTTGCCAGTGTAAGCTAAAGAACTTTCCCCAGAGCTTTGAACATATGGCTGTTGTGGTAGTAAAATGTATTGGGATACTTGGTTAATATAACAGAGTTTACCCCCAGTCCTAGAAGTGTGATACTGAGTGCAGTAAATAAAGCTTCCAAGAAGTATATTGCAAAAAAGACAGACTTACATTTATTCAGGTAGATCCAGTTCACATTCAGGCTTCAGACAAAAGGAGAGAGAGAAGTACCCTGACCTGGATAGCCCAGGCGAGCTGGATTTCATCAGATCTCAGAAGCTAAGCTGGATTTCATCAGATCTCGGAAGTATCCGCGACAACCCGGCAGCCATGTGAACCACACGGCAGCAAGACCAGCTGACTGGCTCGGACTACTTATTGGACGATAGTAATAACTTAGACCATCTTGGAAATGTAAAGCACTTTATTCTTAATAGGATATTATTGGTTGTGATTTGTGATTTTATTGGATGTTATTGTTTTTATGTATGGGCTTATGCCCCTGTAAGCCGCCCTGAGCCCGCTTGCAGGGAGGGCGGGGTAAAAGTACCTAAAATAAATAAATAAATAAAATGAGCAGGGATACTTGGGATACTTGGTTAATATAACAGAGTTTACCCCCAGTCCTAGAAGTGTGATACCGAGTGCAGTAAATAAAGCTTCCAAGAAGTATATTGCAAAAAAGACAGACTTACATTTATTCAGGTAGATCCAGTTCACATTCAGGCTTCAGACAAAAGGAGAGAGAGAAGTACCCTGACCTGGATAGCCCAGGCGAGCTGGATTTCATCAGATCTCAGAAGCTAAGCTGGATTTCATGAGATCTCGGAAGCTAAGCTGGATTTCATCAGATCTCGGAAGTATCCGCGACATCCCGGCAGCCATGTGAACCACAGGGCAGCAAGACTAGCTGACTGGCTCGGACTACTTATTGGACGATAGTAATAACTTAGACCATCTTGGAAATTTAAAGCACTTTATTCTTAATAGGATATTATTGGTTGTGATTTGTGATTTTATTGGATTTTATTAAGAAAGAAAGAAAGAAAGAAAGAAAGAAAGAAAGAAAGAAAGAAAGAAAGAAAGAAAGAAAGAAAGAAAGAAAGAAAGAAAGAAAGAAAGTCTAATCCAAATAGTACTTTCCCTATCACAAATGGCCAGCTAATCCGGCATGATATGTGTGGGAGTATGAGGGCACTGTCTCTACAGGAGAGACCTGAAGGGACCTGCAGGGACAAACTGCAGAGAGCCAGTTTGGTGTAGTGGTTAAGTGCGTGGACTCTAATCTGGGAGAACCGGGTTTGATTCCCCACTCCTCCACTTGCACCTGCTGATGTGACCTTGGGTCAGTCACAAGCTCTGGCACAGGTTTCCTTGAAAAGAGCAGCTTCTGTCAAGAGCTCTCTCAGCCCCACCCACCTCACAGGGTGTCTGTTGTGGAGAGGGGAAGGGAAAGGAGTTTGTAAGCCCCTCTGAGACTCCAAGTGAAGGGCGGGGTATAAATCCAATCTCTTCTTCTCTTCTCTTCTTCTTCCATGGAACACTATGTGAAGGGAGAGTGAGAGGACAGAGAGAGAGAGAGAGAGAGAGAGAGAGAAGGGGTCAGAGGGTGTCAAGCCAGCCCTGGGTTCCAGGCATAGACCCTCCCATGGCCGTGACCATAAAAGATGGAGGGTGTCCGACGGCCCTGGAAGTTGAGGCCTATAAAGAAGAGGGGGGGCGTTGGGGCCTCAGATGGGTAGGGGGACAGAGTTTGTTGGCACTCTGTAAGCCCCTCTACCTTCGTGCATTGGCTCCCCAGCCTCTCAGCGTCCTCCCTAGACTCCTTCTCTCTTTGCCAGCGTCAGGTAGTTCTGAGCACGTCCTTCCTCCCCGGCCCCTTCGCTTCCCTCTCCTTTATACCCAGCTCCCTCTCCCAGCACCGTCTCCCGTCCCCGCCTCCCTCTCATTCCTCCCAGCCCCGCACCCCGTAATAAGCTCCGACACATCCCTACGGCCTGGGTGTGGTCGGAGCTATGCCGGCGGTGGTCCTGTAGGCCTGGGGCCACGCCACCACCAGCGGCGTGCAGGGTCTCGGGCATTTGTAGGTTCGCCGTCAGCCTATTCCTGGCATCGTCGGCCTCTCCTGCTGCTCATGGGGACTCTTTGCTTCGCGGTAGGGCTGGACCGGACCGTTGTGCCTCGGCTGCGCTGACGGGGTCCGGCGTTGTGAGGTCCTCTCGGTCCACGGGTCTGCTGGGTGAGTTGGTGGTCGTTGGGGTCCCTGGGGGGTGTGGGTTAAGTCCCGGGATCCCAGAACCGGGACAGAGGGCAGCTACCAGGTTAAGGCAAAGAGAAGCATCTAATTCAAGGAGGTAACACCTACACACATTTAGGGTGATGTAGCATCCACCAATGTCCAGGCATGCTGAGTTGCTCACTCCAACAAAATGTCCATCATATTTACAAAGTTGTCCTATCTGCTGGTGTTGTTGTTGTTGTTCAGTCGCACAGTCGAGTCCGACTCTTCGCGACCCCATGGACCAGATCACGCCAGGCCTTCCTGTCTTCCGCCGTCCTCTGAAGTTGGCTCAATTTCATGTTCGTTGCATCTATGACACTGTCTAACCATCTCATCCTTTGCTGTCCCCATCTTCTTCTTCTTTTTTTGGCACACTGTATTTCTAATAATGTGAAAGCTGCCATCACAATGGTAATTGTATCTCTGAGTAGATTTGCAGTGTTTAATCGCTTCTGCATTGTTTAGAAGAACCAATTAAAAGCTTTAGGTCAGTTTGAAAGGTGCCCCTGATTAATTTGGCAGCAGATTATTAAAATGTGTTTACAACTGATGGTAGGTACTATTGTCGAAGAAGAATATTCTTTCTTGTCCAGGAGGGAATACCCTCTTCTAAGACAGTACCTTCCCTGAAATGTGTGTGCAACATGAGAAACTGGGAAAAGAGATTAGGATTATGTTTTGTGGTAGCAATAATTGGAAAATGTGGTGTTTAAAACATGGAACCTTAAAGGCTGAAAAATGAATCTGAGCCCTAAATTTTTGGGCAGGCTCCAAGATCCAAAGAAAATGTGTCCAGGCCTAAAGTAGAGCAGATCATACATACAAGGGGAAAACAGAAAACAATTATTTATTTGTTGTCTTTTTCACCCTGTGATTATGATGAAATCTGGAAGCCAGTTATTCATTTTCTGAGACACAATGAAGTTCTTCTATGTAGAAATAATTATAGAATCTGATTAAAATGGTAAGGTTATTGCAAACATGTGTCAATATGAGTTGTTATGTGGGTGTATGCAGGGATCATTTCCTGCAGGAGCGCACAGGAGCGGAGCTCCGGCAGTAAGGAGCTCAGGGGGCGGGCACATGCAACAAGCCCCACCCCCTGCTCCCAGCAGGCCTCAGTTGGGCCACGAGGAGCAAGAAGCAGCCAGGTAAGTTGCAGAGCCCTCCCCCCCCCGTCCGGCTTCAGGTACAAGCTCTCCCTCCTCTGCCAGGGCCGATCTGCACGCTCCCCCCCCCCCAATAGCTAGCAATCCAAAACAGTCCAGTGGAGCCTGAGCAGTGGGTGTTGCCTTCTGACACACTCCTGGTGATGTCAGGGGGTGTGGCATATGCAAATAAGTTATGTTAATAAGTTATGCTAATGAGCTCCTGCACCTCTTTTTCTACGAAATGACCCCTGAGTGTATGAAAATTGTACAAAAATTTAGGTTTAGCCTAGGTTTTCTGGGAGTATCTACCAGTCGATAAGGTTATAATAGTTTTACTTTTCCTTCCCCTTCCCACAACAGGCACCCTGTGAGATAGGTGGGGTTCAGAGAGCCCTTTCAAGAACTGCCTTTGAGGGAACGGCTCTGAGAGAACTGTGACTGACCCAAGGTCATGCCAGCAGCTGCATGTGGAGGAGTGGGGAATCAAACATGGTTCTACCAGATTAGAGTCCGCACTCCTAACTACTACACCAAACTGGCTGTCCCAGGTAGCACTGTCACAATCACTGCATGTCCTGTTAAATAGTGTGCAGTGGTAAAACTGGAGTTGGTGATGTTGCAGGCTTCTTAGGCTGGAGGAAGGCTCCCAAATTTGCTTATCGGGGGTGGTACAATACAGACTGCTCTCTCTCTCTCAGATTAACCCATCCCACAAGGATGTTGTAAATCAAGATGAGGCTGAAACAATAAAGGACTGTAAGTGGGCAGGTAGGGTAGGGCAGTACTGGGTATTTTGCCCAAAGGAAAAGAATGTAATTTTAAGTCTGGTAATACAAAATGGGGTCCACCTCTCCATTGCGGAGCTATGTTTATTGCAGTAAACACGGATGCTTAACAGGGGAGCAATTTCTGAACATGTTGAGAAAACGTCAGTCCACTACTCAAAGCCATCAGCTTAACCAAAGAATGGTCAGCCAGCATCTGCAGCCGTCATGTTACAGGACGCAGGGCTCTTTTTGTAGCAGGAACTTCTTTGCATATTAGGCCACACATCCCTACTGTAGCCAATACTCCAAGAGCTTACAGAGCTCTTCTTACAGGGGCTACTGTAAGCTCTTGGAGGATTGGCTACTTCAGGGGTGTGTGGCCTAATATGCAAAGGAGTCCCTGCTCCAAAAAGAGCCCTGCGAGGTCACCATGGAATACTTTGTATGATCCCCCCCCCCGCCCGCATCACAGTCTGAAGCAGATCATAATGTCTGGCCCAAGGCACAAAAGAATGAAAGCTGATAAACTAAGGAACACAAAGTGGAAGAGAACCATATGGAAGGCTGCAATCATACCTACTGGAAGCTGCGGAAGA